AGGTCTCAGAATTCTGGGCCCCTCTGGGAACAGCTCGGGGCAAATGGACTACCGTGCCAGCAATCAGGCTCAGGGCTACCAGACAGGCATGCCCCCACCAGCATCATTTTATGGCCAGAGGAGGATGGCCATGGTGGATGCCACCATGACTCAGTCTGGTCAGGACATGCAATCATGCCATATGGGCCCAGCTGGCTCTCAGCAGCCTTTCCCGGCACCGTCGAACAACATTAACAAGAATAATATGCCAGTGCAGTGGAATGAGGTGAGCTCAGGGACTGTGGACAAAACAACTAAGCTCTCCAAACAACAGCAGCATCCTGTCAGGGGGAACCTAGCTGTTGTTCAGCAAAGGCACAACTTTGGTTCCTTTCAGGGACAAGGTCAGAGTCTGGGCAGCAACCAGCAGGTAGTGCCTATGAGTCAGAATATGTCTATGCAGGGGTATGGAAACCACAGCAGCCAGAGGCTGATGAACATCTCCCACCAGCAGCACCAGCAACAGAGGCAATGCAATAATGTGAACTTTAATGAACAAATGAGTCCTCAGCAAGGGTTTGGCCAAGAGGCAATCCCAAATTCTTTGTCTGGGAGCACTAGTGTGCGACCTAATCGGAACGGTATGGTAGAGCCGGAACTGCAAAGTTTCAAATCAAGGACACAGTCAGATGGGTATACTCATGTGAACCATGTGGACCAGCAGCAAAATTACAGTGTTCTCTCCCAGCAACAGCAGCATAATGCCCATAATGTAGGCAGAGGAATGTTACAACCCAGGCCCCCCATCGAGCCAAAGTCTACTGGAAGACAACACACAGGTACTAGCATGATGCAACTGAGCCAGATACCCAAGTCATCTGCTTTGAGCCCAACTCTTGGTACTGACACCTCAGAGGCAAGCCCAAAAAGGCCGAGTGGTTCAGTAACCCACACCAGCAACTCTGAAAACCTGAACCCTGCTGTTTTCTACACAGGTCAGATTCATATGTTTGAGCCACCTTCTGTCACGTTTAATGCCCCCATGTCTCACTGTTCCAACCAGGCCGCTGTCAGTAACACCACTACTGCAGCCAACATGGCCTCACCAGGAGTCAACCAAGTCTCTAGCAGTACAGTGGATTCTTCCACTGGTGGCACAGATCATGCCCAGATTGACTTTGACACCATGCTAGACGATGGGGACCACTCCAGCCTTATGTCAGGTACCCTGAGTCCTGGCCTTCTGCAGAGCCTCTCCCAGAATTCCTCACGTCTCACCACCCCTCGCAACTCTGTCACTCTCGCTTCTGTACCTGCAGGGATTGGCAACATGGCCATTGGGGACATGAACTCTATGCTCACTGCCTTGGCCGAAGAAAGCAAGTTCCTCAACATGATTAGCTGAGAGCAATCAAACACCTCATCATCCATCCAGTTGTAAACCATTTCTGCATCAGGAATATATGGGCTACATAAGAAAGCACTGATTGAATAATGCAAAACTGGCTATTTCAAGAAAATGTTCTTATTTGTCTGTAAAAAAATGCCTCTCTTGTTATATGAGCTTAAGATTTGTATATGTTTCATTAAAAAGTGTAATTCTCAGTATAGCTACAGTTAAGGACAATTTTATGTCTTTTTGTTTTTGTTTGTTTTGTTTTTGTTTTTGCCATACATTTTAACTACAAATACATATCCCAGGGGATAAACATGTATCTACAAACAATTGCCATTCAGTATTTTCTGGTGAATTCGCCCTTTACAAAAACTGTGCACTGAAAGCAGTCTTCAAGGTACCTTGCTGAAGATATCAGATTTTGGCATCTGAATACAACATGAAAAGAGAGCTACCAGGGAATGGACATGATATGTAAATAAAAAATAATATTTTCTCATGAAGACATTTTGTGTATAAAGGTGACACTGTATGGTACTTGCTTTAATTTAAGCTGTAGACTTTTGATGTTTCAACTTGGGCTGTCAAATGTGAGATGTACCAAAATTGAAAACATTTTTAGGTTTTTAAATACATTTGCTTTTCTCTTTTTTAAGTGTGCAAAACAACAGGCTAAAGAGGTGCATAGACTTTTCAGTAAATGCTCCCCTGACACACACAGTGTTATATTATTAAAATAGATAAGAATATTCCAGTTGTGATCAAGTTTAAAACTCGCACAGTGGGACCAACATACTGATGTACTGTATGGTATGTCTTTGCAGACAAAATATCCTACAATTAATTTATCAGACCCTTTTATCCAAAGTAACGTACATCAGAGAGTAAGAACAACACAAGCAAGGATTTAGAGAGGAGGAGACAACGTCAGGAAGTTCAAACGATTGGCTTTAAGTCCGATCAGACAAACAGGTGTTGACAGGAAGTGACCAGAGGCAAAGCACATCGAAAGCTGTTCTTGAGAGTTCTAATCAGCATAGAAACTATCTTAAAATATTACTATCAAACAAAACCATCGTCCTTACCATCATCATCATAATCAATAATATCAAAACCATCGTCATCATCATCATTAAGGTCGTAGGTGTTCATGAAAGAGCTTGGTCTTTAGCTTTTTCTTAGGACATCACAGAGAGAGGAATGAGGAGTCAAAGCAGGAAACACAAACCGTGTATGTAAAAATCCATACATGCCTTTAATGATTAAAAAAAACACAGTTTATATTTACAGCTCCTGTAAGGAACTTCCAGTTAGTGTCAATGTTGGCGCCCCCTGTGGACAAAGCAGTACTTCATCTGTTTTCAACTCTTTAGTTGCAGTGCGCATGTGCAAGTACTGTTTTGTTTAACTGTCCGATGTATAACTTGTCATTAAACATTAACTTCGTCTTGACACCTACCCCCCCTCTGCAGCGGTTAACATTAAAGTTAACTATTAGAAATAGTTCATCTTTATGCTGATGGTCTCATTTGCTTTTGGGGTCATCAAGAGGCATCAATATTAGATTAATTCCGTTTTATTACAGTTGAAAAAAACTCCTCACTGCCGCTTTAATCCAACTTTCTTGCAGCATTACAAAGACTTAAATACAATCTTATTAAAACAGCCTATACTTGTTCAAAACAAAATGATGTTAGTCACAAATATTCTGGAATTAAGACTGTTCGTTATTCTGAGCAAATTGTAAACATTTAAAATGTTCATTGTTTTTTTAATTTCTTGAAATTGAATATGCAATTAGGTTGTCAAAGAAGAAATCTGTGACTCAATGCAGATTACAAAGTAAAACATTGGACAGCCCTAGTTGAAACACCTGGTTGTACTGCTTCATGTTCCACAGATAAGTGCTTGTGATCATGGTTGAAGCTCTCGGGGATGGTAAAGCAAATTCAGCTCTCCTTCTTTGCCCTCTGCTTCAGAGGCACAACTCTCCACGGTCCGATCTCACAAGGGTAAATGATTGAAATGGACAAGGATATGCCTCTGTGTTAGTTTATCAGGGCACATGAACCCCTGTGACTGATGAGGAGCATTCTCTAAAAGAATATACAAGTACCTCTGTGTGTCTCAGTAGAGATCCAGCCCTAATTAACACATTCATACCAACCCCCCTTTGCTGCACCCCGTGCTTCCCCTGAGCTCTGATGAACTGCAGCGAGTCCAGGAAGGGACACAGACTTTGATTATGAAAACTCCTCTTTTTGACAGGGATGGCAAACTAGTCCTGCCAATTCCTCCGTTTTATTATGTTTGCTGAATTTCTAAGTAGCCTTTCAAATGTTTGTGTGTATGCTACCGTTCACTTTTACTATGCTCAGTGTGTGTGGGGGTTTGTGTGAGTGTGTGTGTGTATATATCTTTTGTACATTTCAAATAAACTATCTCCTTTGTTTCTGTTTAAATCTCGGCATTGTGTGTCTTTCATATAACACGATTTGAGGTCCCTGGAGGTTACGTGAAAGAAGAGCCAGTGTTCAACTAGTGAGATCATATCTGGCATGTTCTCAGGCTGCTGTTGAATAGACCTCAACATATACTCACTGTAATTCAAACACTGATACATATGACTCAACCTACATGATAATTACATACACTCAAAGGGGTCTTAAGGAAATAATGGCATTCATACTCCAAATACACAATCGTAAAATAAATTCCCAAACCATATGAAAGTAATAAACATGTTATTTTCCATGGTCTGTATTTAAACACCATCACATTGAAATCAAATATGATCATTTAAATTGCATTATCTGCACTTCAAGGGTTAATTCTGATATTTGTAGACCTCAGGCCTCGTTTAACTTGTGGGCTCCAAAGTGTAAGAGGTTAAAGAGTTATCTTCATGTGTCCGATCAAAGTTTTACCACTACCCTGCAAAAACTCATTATTATAATTTGTCTAATTTCAAGTCAAAATATCTCAACACACTTCAAATAATCATATCATAAATAAACATGTTATTACAAGATATAAAAAGCTGAACAAAATACAACAATTGGGCCTTTATTGCTTGTAATTAGTGAAATAAGCAGCAAAGTAAATACTCTTTTTTTTAAGTTTCTTGAGTTAAAATGAATGCCTCATTTTTGCTCCTTCCCAGCAATGCAGGCCTCATTTTGTGTTGTGAAATAAGATGTTTATCTTGACTTGTCAGGTGAATGTGGCCTATATTAAGTGTAATGACCTTTGTATTTTCTTGAACTAGAAATCAGATAATTACATTTTTGCAGTGTAGAAGGCTCAGTGTTGCAGCTGAGAGGCTCGGATTGTTATTTTCTAAAGATGTAGAGGAATTTTTAAACTGAAAACAGTAATTACATTGTTCTCTCAGGAGTAATTTTACCCTGCAGAAAGCAGGACTTGCTTGTCAGGATCGGATGTTTCAATTAGTCTGTTTTTGTGTAATTGTGTCAACCTTGACTTGGTAAGATGCATACATCTTCTGGATGCTTGATCTGCAAAGTGAATGTGTTTCTTCAGTAGTTGTGATTTTAATCCAATGGTTCTTCACACTGCGTACTTGGGCAAAATGGGGAGAAGAAGAAAAAAAACGGATGAAAAAGGACACTTCATACAGACAAAATGCATGCAGAGCATTTTCTAAGAAACAAAGAGGCATGTTGTCCAAAATTAACAGTGGCATGTAAGCCCTGAAAAAATGGGTGTTGGGGCAACATGAAACAGGAAGGAAGAGACAGGGGAGAAAAGATGGAGAAGAAAAATCAGGGGAGAAAAGAGCGAGCTAGTACAGAGGTGAAAGGAGTGGTCCTTGTAAGAGGTGAGGAACAGGAGAGAGATAAGGGAAGGGGTGCAAAACATGCAAAAGAGTGCTAAAAGATAGAGAACAAATCACTTTTAATTTGACAGCAAATTCAGCTGGGATCTGGTTAGAAGTAAAGCCCACTGATTGCTTTTGCCACTGGAATTCTTTATTCTCTTAGAGAGAGGATGGGAGAAAAATAGCCCCAGGGTAAGGAGTCTCACCAGAGAGGAGAACAAGAGGTCAGAGAGGGAGAAATCAAAGCTTAGACAAAGCACACAGATGAGGGAGTGAAAAAGCAATGAAATAAGCCTGTTTACCAGACAATACTTCACAAAACATTTTATGTGCAAACCTAAAGCAGAGAGATACTCTAAGTGTTTTACTCACCTGGTTTTAAGATGCATTCAAGATTTCATTTTTGCAACTTGAAGGCAGACCTTTGCTAAAGCTAACAAATTAGCGTCGTAGAGCGGACTCTTCTGCGTCGTCCTTTTTACGTCATGTCTTGCCTCAAGAGACCCCTGCCCTCCCCCCTCCCGTCGGACAGGGATAGTCTTCTGCTGTGAGGTTCATCTGGTGAACAACCAGATCAGGAAGATTTCAGGGCCAGTCCTCCTGAAATTCCCTAGACATTTTCAGGAGTGCATATGTGAAAACAGCTTTAGTTATTGAAGACCTCGGAGATCTGAGGGGGGTTTATCTATGGGATCCCCCCCCCCTTTCAGCTCAGCTGTCTTGGCCAACATCTCACTGCTGAGCTTGAAAGAGTCACTGCCTGTTAGTAGACGATATTCAAAAAGGAAGTCAGCTGTTGTTTGATGACATTCGCTCCCTGCACCGTGGACACAACCAGACAAAACAACATGCCGCATAGAGGCAAAGGGTCACATGGATGAAAGATTGAGATCCTCAGCTGACCCATAACAGAACAAATGTAATCTGAAGTGTTTGAAAATAGACTCTCAGAAACAGGAAGGCACTCATGGCTTTTAATTGCAAGTAGAAGGATTGTCAGGAAACACTTTTAACCTGGGAAAAAAACGGGGAGTGTATGTAACACACACTGTATGAGAGCGGACACTTTGCACACATTCACTGTCCGTGCAGAGTGGTGTTTTTTTTTTTTTTTGGAATAGTGTGGAGTCAGCCTAAAAAGTTAATCTGTTCCCAATGGTATGTAAACAGTAGTTTCATGTTAGAGAAAGAGAGCTGCTAATGGTTCATCTCTTTAAAAAAAAAAATTAATGAATAAATTCCGATTGTATTTGCAGGTTTTTTGGAGAGGTATCGGAGTGTGTCCAATATTGCTCTTTGGCCTTTGAGGTCAGGTCATCATAATAAAGCGATTCACTGGGCGGGGAACTAGTGCCTTTTTTCCCCGGTCCTTGGTTCAGTTTCTCATCAAAGGCTTCCTGCATTGAGCTCTGTGCGTACTGGGATCAGAGGGACGTGACCCGTGTCAGAGTCAGGGTTACCTACTGCTCCTACAGAGCTTTGGCCCATCCTGCTGCTGCTGCTGCTGCAGGCCCGAGGGCAGAACGTGCCCCGCTAAACTCTCTGGAAGTGCAAAAATTATGATCAACCCGCGCAGAGCCCAGAGGGGATGTCTGGAATGAAGGCCAGCATTGTGGCCCTCCTCTGGGTAGTAAGAGTCCAGGGTCGCACCCTTACCCAGATCCTGACCTCTCCTAGGTTGCCAACCAGATTTGAGGTCAGAGCGTCGTCATGAGTAGGCTGCTGAGGAATGCCATCGTTTGATTGAAGTCAAGGATCCTCAGATTAAAGGCTTATAGTGAGTGTAGGAAGTGAATGACCCTGTCTTTGCTCTTGGTCAGCAACGTTTTCTGCTCCTCTTTAATGCTTTTTTTTCCCCTCTTCCTGTTGTAACTGGCACAGAGAGTTCACGCCCACTCATCTCCCTCACCCACTGCACTTTCCCTTTGAAAGGAATGATGTAACAGCACCAGCACGTCATTCTGATCATTGAAGCATAACTGTGGTTGTAGTTTTAATCTCTCAGCTGCAACCCATACAATCGGAAAAAAAAAAACGATGAGTATATTCCTGACTGCATTAAAAAGTTAAAGATAGATCTGTTATTGTGGCAAAGAGAAATGTACTGCTTAAAGACCACAGGGAGTTTGGGCAGTTCCATTTTTTTCTAATGTTCCTTCGGTTTGGCTCACTCGTGTTTTCTTTGGGCCACATTGACCCAGGCACCTC